AAAAAAAAAATTTCTTAAGATTTATTTATTTATGCATACAGAACTGGGGTACAGGCCAGAGGTAGAGGGAGGGTGAGAAAATGCACCAGAGACCGAGGGGGCAGAACGGGCAGATCCACTGAAACACACTACTGATGGGAGCAGTGGGCTAGACAGGAGAGGTCTGGTGAGCAATGTGGGTCAGCTCCTGTACTGGAGATCAAATTCATGGTGCAGTAGCTGCAGCTAGCTTCATGGTGCTGCGCTTTAACCCCTTGCACCACCAGGGAGGGCCCTGTGCTATGCATTTTAATAGTAATATTAAAAAGCACTATCACTAAACACTTAACTATGTGCCAACTGTATCCTAAGTGCCCTCCCTGCATTAACTCAAATATTCCTAGCAGTCCTATAAGTTACATCTTATTATTATTATCAGTTTACAGATGAGATAAAGAAAGCACAGAGAGGTTAAGTAACTTCACCACGGCTACCCAGAAACAGCACAGCTAGATTTCAAACCCAACCTTGGAAATTCAGACTTGCTTCTCTAGAAGGACAAGCCCTTCCTCTCCTCCCCAAGAAGTCAGTTTACCTATGGAATTACTACTACAGCAAGTCCCCATTTTTGCAGGCCAAGCTCAAACCCCAGTCCCCCCCCCACCCACCAATTCTAAAATGTAGAATTGGTAGCCTGTTCCCTGTCCCAAGTCTGATAAAAAGAGAGAACAGAAACTCTTCCTCTGTAAGAGATAACAGAAAAATATTTAGAATCACCAGAAGTGGGTCTGAGCCCCAATTTTGCCACTTTGGGGTTCTATAAACACTTCTCCGAGCCTCAGTTTCCTCACCTATGAAATAGGAATGATAACAATTCTGCCTACAGGGTTGCTGTGTGGAGCAGGAAAAGTGAGGCCTGCAAAGACTGAACAGTGAGGTCAGCACAAGAGGGCCTCTCGCTGTTGCTATGGGGACAACAAGCCTCCAGGGAAGAAGCCTAACCCGGCAGAGCAGACAACACTGTCATCCTGAAAATGCTTCTGGGTTCGAGTCCCAGGTCCTCCTGTTATATCCGGTATGACCTTGGGCAAGTTCTATAATCTGGCTGAGCCTCAGTTTTCTTGTCTAGAAAATGGAGTGAATAATATTGATCATGGAGAACAGGAAAGGAAACACAAGGAGAGGATGCCTAAAAGGCCCTGAGCCAAAGCATGGAGCTGGCCGAGCACAGCCTGCTACGGACTCTAGGGAGGCACAAGGCATTAGCTCAGAGAAGAACCGCTGTGACCGGCACGCCACCCCTATCTGAAGAGGGGCAGAGCACTGAGCTCGGAGTCCAGGTCTCGCCACAATCCTACCTCCCACACCTCAGCTCTAGCTGGGTCCACTGCATGTTCTCTCTCTCTCAGTTCTTCTCCACTGAGCAATCCCAGGGGGCCCTGAACCTCGGTTCCAGCCAAGCTTGCAGACTTTCCCCGCCTCCACATCCTTAATCCACAGCCTTTGCATTTGCCATTCCTTCCACCTGGAATGCTCTCTCCTCCCTGAGTGCCTTTGATGGGGAAGACGGGGGTGCTGGAGAGAAAGGATCTGGAATGGTGCCCCCCCACCTCCACACTCCCCTCCCCTGCACCCCCCACTGCTGCATACCTGACCATGGGGGGGATGAGGCAGGC